GATTTATTACCTAATGCCATGCCACCTAAGACTCGGGTTTACCCCCTCTCTTACACAAATCCAGGCCATGGATGAGTATATTGATGAGGCTCTGGACTCCGGTCTCATTTACCCTTCTACATCACCAGCTGCAGCAGAGTTCTTTTTTATGGAAAAGAAAGATGGAGGTCTTAAACCATGCATTGATTACAGAGGTTTGAACAATATCACAGGAAAATTACGCTATCCTCTCCCATTAGTCCCCTCTGCCCTTGAACAGCTACATTAAGTCAACATATACACCAAACTTGATCTAAGAAGTGCCTTTAATTTAATCAGAATTTTTGCAGGGGATGAATAGAAAATGGCGTTTATCACCACAAGGGGACACTGTGAATACCAGGCCATGGCCTATGGACTGGCAAATGCTCCGGCTGTCTTCCAATCCTTTATCAACGACATATTTAAGGACCTGATTAATAAGTATGTGGTTGCATACATCAATGACATCCTCATTTACTCTAAGGATGAAGCAGATTATATTATTCATATCAGGACTTTGATGTCAAGGTTACTGGAGAACCAACTATACGTTAAGGCAGAGAAGTGTGAGTTCCATGTTAAACAGACATCATTCCTAGGTTACCACATAAGTCATAATGGAGTGCGTATGGATGAACTCAAAGTCCAAGCAGTCACAGAATGCCCAGTACTCTCTACGATCAAGGAACTTCAGTGATTCCTGGGTTTCGCAAACTTTTACAGAAGGTTCACATAGCACAGTATAGCACAGTAGCTTCACCTATGATGTCATTGCCCAAGGGAAAACCAAAGAAACTGGAGTGGACAGAGGAAGCTAATCAAGCTTTCATTGAGTTAAAGGAACGATTTACCACAGCCCCTTTTCTGAAACATCCAGATCCTAATTCACCATTCATCTTAGAGGTGGATGCCTCAGATCTAAGCATCGAAGCAGTGTTGTCACAAGGGCACAGTACACTAGGTAAACTGCACCCATGTGCGTTCTACTCCAGAAAGCTAACATCAGCGGAACATAATTATGATGTTGGGAATAAGGATTTACTTTCTATGAAGGAGGCTATTGCTGAATGGAGGCATTGGCTTGAGGGAGCCATTTACCCATTCCAAGTCATCACAGATCACAAAAACCTGGAGTATATTAAAAGTTCAAAGTGACTAAACCCCAGACAAGTCTGATGGTCCCTATTGTTCACCGTGTTCCAATTCACAGTTACGTATACACCAGGAAGTAAAAACTGCAAGGCAGATGCTCTTTCTAGACGTCATGACTCCTCTACTGACAACAATAGCACTCACAGAAAAATCCTCCCTCCTACAGTAGTCATTGCACCAGTATCATGGAACATTATGGAAGAAATTCACATAGAACAACAAAATGCAGCTCCGCCCCCTCAGTGTCTACTTAACAACAACTACGTACCCACAATATTACGCCAAAGAGTCATGCAATGGGTCCATATGTCCATATGTGCAGGTCATCCAGGCATATCACTAACAATACATTTGGTCCAAAACTCTTTCTGGTGGCCACAAATGAGTAGAGACATCACAAACTATGTCAAGTCCTGCCAAGTCTGCGCCCAGTCGAAAACCCAAAGAATTACCCTCAGCACTCCTGAAGCCATTACAACCTGGTCACATCTGTCTATAGACTTCATAACCGACTTACCTCAATCAAACAACTTTACCACAATCCTCCTAATCATTGATAGCTTCTCCAAGTCATGTCATCTGGTTCCACTGCCAAGTCTACCCACAGCCATGGAAACCGCTCACTCTCTATTCCAGCAGAACCCATGGATTACCAGAGGACATCGTGAGTGATTGTGGTACACAGTTTACCTCACAGGTCTGGAGGGCCTTCTGTAAACAGCTAGATATCAACATAAGCCTCACGTCTGGATATCATCCCCAAATCATTGGTCAAGTAGAACGTCTAAACCAGGAAATAGGTTGATACCTCAGGACTTACTGCAGCAGAGAACAAAATTGTTGGTCTGAGTTTCTCCCATGGGCTGAATATGCACAAAACTCATTGACACATTCTTCAACAGCACTTACTCCCTTACAGTGCGTCTTAGGATTTCAGCCTGCACTGTTCCCATAGTCTGGTGAGCCATCTGCAGTTCCAGCAGTTGACGAGTGGATTCGGCGTAGTGAGAGGGTGTGGGACAGTGCCCATGTCAGGCTCCAGCGGGCCATTCGAACACAGGAGTTTCAGGTCAATCGCTGACGTTGTCCAAACCCTCCCTACCAATTTGTTCCAAGTGACTTTCATGACTGCTATCCTGTGTATTTGTACGTGTTTGTTCATTTACATTCTCTGTCTTTGCCCTCTTGATCTGTTTTGGACTGATAGTTGTGATACTGAACTTATGCCTGCACTCTTAGGCCCCGTTTACACTAATGCGTTTTAGTTTGAAAACGCATAAGTTTTGCTACGGTTACTGCATCCGTCCACACTACGAGTTCTTGAGCGCCGAAACGGAGCGTTTCAAAAACGCTGGAGAGGCCGTTTTCATTCTGAAACGCTGCTGCTCCGTCTCAGTGTGGATGAAGGAAAACGGAGACATCTGAAAACGGAGGCGGGGCTGCAGACATTCGCCTCTCTGATTGAGGCTTTTCCTCAATATTAAGTAGCCTAACACACACAGTTCAGTCCTGCATCTTCTCCGTGTAAGTTTAGACTTCGCAAGTTTCATCAAGGCTGCAGTCTCTTCTTTTCAGTTTGATATGGAAAACAGACCGAGGACACGGGTAAATCTTCAAAGGGAACAGTGTACTTTATAACTTCATTCACATCACCCTGGCTACGTTGTTTCACTTTCTCAACAATAAAATGTAAACATGATATAAGGAACTGCCTATTTTCATTTTAATATTAACAACTTAACAGACAGCAGAAATGTTGAGGCGCCGTGCTGCATATTTGAGCATCATCTTCACTGTGTGGATATTTATAACAAAACGGAGCCGATAACAACGGCCTCCTTTCAATTTCAGTGAAAATACGAAACCCTCTCTTTTGCTGAATATCAGTTTTAATAATCGATAATGACCATTATAAAAGTATAACATACAATAAGTTTATACATTATAGGAAATAAAGGCAAGCGATCAGTCAATATACAGCATGTACGTGCTTACATTAATCATTAACTTATCTTTGCGCTCAGCCAAAACACGTTACCTGAGAACAAGTAATAGATTCCAGTGACCAAAGTCAGGGAATATGTCGTTAGATACAGACAACAAGATGAATGAAATATCACGTTTAATAAATATAGTGAGATTAGATCCAGCGGGAGATGCTTGATGAGAAGTCCGACTAGCATAGCTCTCATCTGGGTAGATTGGCTGCAGCGCTTGCCTGAGAGTGTGTGTGTGGTCACGTGATGTGCGTTTTCAGCGTTTTGGTGTGGACGGAGAGCTGTTCAGAAACGCTGGGTAAAACGCGAGTGTGGACGCGGATCGTTTTCATTCTAAAACGCCGTTTTAAAACTAAAACGCACTAGTGTAAACGGGGCCTTACTTCGTTTTATGGATTTGCCCCTGTGTTTGTTAAATATTTCATTATTTATTTATTTATTATTGGATTGTTTATTTATTTGTTAATCAATTAATTAATTAAGCATTGTTATTTTGTTTTTTTATTTGTTTATTTATTACTATTGCATTGTTATTTTATTTATTTATTTATTTATTTATTTATTATTGCATTGTTATTTTATTTAGGCGATGCAGTGGCGCAGTAGGTAGTGCTGTACCACAGCAAGAAGGTTGCTGGTTCGAGCCTTGGCTGGGTCAGTTGGCATTTTTGCGTGGAGTTTGCATGTTCTCCCTGCTTTCGCGTGGGTTTCCTCCAGGTTCTTCGGTTTTCCCCACAGTCTAAAGACATGCGGTATAAGTGAATTGGGTAGGCTAAATTGTCCGTAGTGTATGAGTGTGAATGAGTGTGTATGGATGTTTCCCAGAGTAGTTTGCATCTGGAAGGGCATCCGCTGTGTTAAACATATGCTGGATAAGTTGGCGGTTCATTCCGCTGTGGCGACCCCGGATTAATAAAGGGACAATGAATGAATGTTATTTTATTTATTCATTTATTTTTACTATTATTATTTTCTGTATGTGTGTTTTTTTATTTGAGTTTATAATATTTTTCTGTATGTACTGGATTTATTATAGCAACATCTAATTACAGTCACTGCCGCTTTTGTGAAGGGCAGGGAAAAGGGGGTGTTAAAAAGAAGTAAAAAAATTGTAAACTGATGGTTCTGTTAAATTATTGAAGAAAATAAAAGATTTGAATCGTAAAAAAGAAAAAAGAAGTAAATTCATTGAGAGTAATGCAGCAAATGGACAGTAACTCAAATAACAACTTTATTTCAGATTGTAGCAATAAGAAATTACTTTGCAATTACACAATTACATTGTAGCTGTGTGTATTCAGCATTTGTTCATTCATTCATTCATTCATTTTCTTTTCGGCTTAGTCCCTTTATAAATCTGGGGTGACAAAAAAATTATCCAGCATTGGTTTTATGCAGCGGATGCCCTTCTAGCTGTAACCCATGACTGGGAAACATCCATACACACTCATTACCACACATACACTATGGACAATTTTAGCATACCCAATTCACCCATACCACATGTCTTTGAACTTGTAGAGGAAACCGGAGCACTTGGGGGAAACCCACGCCAACACAGGAAGAAAGGCAAACTCCACACAGAAATGCTTTTTGCTGTGAGGCAATTGTGCTACCCACTGTGCCACTATTGTTCTTGCATTGGAGTGACCTGTGGTTAAGTACATTGCTTGAGTTCACAGCCTTGAGGAAACTGGACTGGGATCTCAGTACCTCTCCAGTGTCTGGGTTACCTTTGCTCTTGAACTTGCAATGCTTGTTATTAATTGGACAATCCTTTGTGTGAAGGTCACATTTTGACATTTTTTTTTTTGTTTAAATGTTCACCAGAGGACAAGCAGAAGAAAAGAAAACATCAGAAAGGCAAGGTAGAGACAGAGGGAAGTACCCTGCAGCGCTCCAAAACCTTTGTCAGCTTGCTCTTTAAAAGTGGACGCAGAAGGGAAAGGTCATCGTCTAGAGACCGGAAGGACACAGGAAGAGAGGACGGACACAAAGGAAGATCCAAATCCCCAAAACATTTAGATAACGAACCGGGTAAGTCCATATGCAATATGTGGTTTACCAGAATGTTGTTGAGGGCTTCATTCTGCGGATACTTGGGAATATCAAAGATGAACATATTTGCATTTGAAAAGCCTAAAAACAGCATAATGAGTTTTTAAGGAGGCTAAATCAGAGAGCTGCTTCACTGTACACTGTTCTGCGGTAATTCCCTCGGAGTGGCCTTGAATCCGACCCCTGTGGTTTTGCTCAGCTAATGATGAATTGCATAGCTGTCTTCTATACAGTGCTTACTGCAGCAGCACACAGACTTAAAAAGGTGTTAGAAGCAAATCACATCAGAATGTTGTAACCTTGACATGTTAAGGTTTTTGTGATATGTGTAACTAAATTCTATATTTTGAAAGAGACTGTTGCAGTCACTAGAGCTCAGAGACTGGCTCCATCTCTTGTGTCCTCAGGTAAAGAGCGGGGTCGACCCATTATTAACCTATTGAGTTCTCCCAGAGAGACTCGTGCTGGTTTGAGGGAGCAAAGCCCGATGCCTAGCCCGGAGACCATGGCTTTGTTGGAGGACGTGGCACGCAAGCTGCTCAATGAGGACGAAGTGGCTGCTGTCATGAGACACTGTAAAAGGGTAAGCATTTATGATTTAGACAGATACTTCTTTCATTTTCTAAATGTTGAGGCAAATAACTAATAAGATTTCTGATTAATACATCTGTCATGCTTACAAACGAGTCCAGGAAACTAACATTTTGACACAGCTCCCAATGGCAGTGGTGAGGAGTAGGTACGGGCCGGTATAAGATTCAGAGGGTATGATAACCTTGGATAAAAATATCATTTTGTGATTACTGCTCTAAAATACGTTCTTTTTAAATGTCTGTGTAAAAATTGACAACTTTTTATACCCATTGAACTAATATTTAAAACATTTAGTCACAGTAAACATGTCAGGCTAAATAATTCAAATAAATCATTGACTTCTACTGTCTTCACTTATTTCAAAAACACAGATTTTTAACAACTTGAAAAGGCATCTTTGGATCATCTTGTCTTGTCGATTGTCTTTTATTCTAGATATAAAGTATCTATATATAAACAAACTCACTCTAAAAAACAAATCACTTATAAGCCAACATCCAAACATGCTATAGATCTAGGGTGCATTTCCGAAAACCATCGTTAGCGAACAAAGGTCGCAAGTTGCGTCGTTACAAATATAGTTTGTTGATTTGGTGTTTCCCAAATCCATCGTTCCAATGAACATTCACAAACTGCGTCGCAAAATTGTGGGAATGCAACTACACCTAGAGAGCAGTAGTTAAAAGCATTAAAATAATCATAGGTCTAATTTACTTTAAATATTTTTTAGAGTTTTAGTGATTTTCATATTGAAAAATTGCTTTCCCTTTGCAGTGCACTTTAAAGGCCATTATGACATTTTGAACGCAGCCATGGCTTATAAGAAAAGCTATAGGTGATCTATTATTTAAAAGCTGAATTTATGTTATGTCTCCAAAGCTTGTGAATACAAAAAATATATAGCATATGTTAATGCTTTTAATTTATAGTGGGTTATTTTAAGAATCTGTACTGAATAGAGTTGAAGTCAGAATTATTAGCTCCTCTTGAATTTTTTTTCTTTTTTTTTTTAATATTTACCAAATGATGTTTAACAGAGCAGGGAAATTTTTGCAGTATGTCTGATAATTTTTGTTCTTCTGGAGAAAGTTTTATTTGTTTTATTTCAGCTAGCATAAAAGCAGCTTTTCATTTTTTTAAATTAATTTTAAGGTCAAAATTATTAGCTCCTTTTAGGCTATATATATTTTTTTTTTCGATAGTCTACAAAACAAACCAACATTATATAATAACCTAACCTGCCTAGTTAACCTAATTAACCTAGTTAAGCCTTTAAATGTCACTTTAAGCTGTATAGAAGTGTCTTGAAAAATAGCAAGTCAAATAATATTTACTGTCATCATGGCACAGATAAAATAAATCAGTTATTAGAAATTAGTTATTAAAACTATTATGTTTAGAAATGTGTTGAAAAAATCTTCTCTCCATAAAACAGAAATAGGGGAAAAAATAAACACGGGGGCTAATAATTCTGACTTCAACTGTATGACATGGGCCTGTTGGTTGGAACATTTCTCCAGTGGTTTGAATGTGCCAAATTGTAAAAGTAGACTTTTACAATAAATAAAATAAAATAAATAAATAAATAAACAAGATCCTAAATAAAAAAAATATTATTATTAAGTGATATTTTTTCTTAATTTATTAATAAAAAGCCTACTGTAAATCACAACCATTCATTATTAATTTATTATTTTGTGGTTTCCCCCACAATCCAAAGACATGTGGTACAGGTGAATTAGGTTGGCTAAATTGTCCGCAGTGTATGAGTGTGTGTGTGAATGTGTGTGTGTGGATGTTTCCCAGAGATGGGTTGCTGCTGGAAAGGCATCTGCTGCGTAAAAAAACAAAAACCTGCTGGATAAGTTGGCGGTTCATTCCGCTGTGGCAACCCCGGACTAATAAAGGGACTAAGCCGACAAGAAAATGAATGAATGAATGAATGGATGCATGTTTTTACCAAAACTAATATTGCATTTTTTTAAAACAATATAATTTGCACTAAAATTGTGGGTTTTTTCTCTATATAAGTTGTTACTTCACCCCATTCAGAGCATAAATATGGACGTTTTACATTATAACAAATGTTCAAATGTTCAAATGACGGATCTGCGACAGAGAAACTGCAGTTTTGGGAAACACTCGTCACTACGTCGTACTTTTCTTGTGGCTTTCTGCACTGTTTAGCTCTAAAGCATGTTTGGATGTTGGTTTATAAGCGATTTGTTTTTCAGATGTTTGCTGAATCATAAGTTGACCAGTAGCATTTGATTTAGAGAGACCTTTTCTGCTGCAGATAGTGTTTCTCTAAAAAACTAAATAAAATTGGCGTAAAAACTGATTATCATCCCATGCATATTGAGGATTTATCAAACTCCTACATTAATTCATATGCTACTCATCAGGAATGAGAAGTAATAGAAAACATGTAACTTATAATGTTAGGTATACATTCATTCATTCATTTTCTTTTTGGCTTAGTCCCTTTATTAATCCGGGGCCACCACAGCGGAGTGAACCGCCAACTTATCCAGCATAAGTTTTTACGCAGTAGATGCCCTTCCAGCTGCAACCCATCTCTGGGAAACATCCATACACAATCATAGACTACTGAAAATTTAGCCTGACCAATTTACCTGTACCACATACTGTATCTTTTGGACTTGTGGGGGAAAACGGAGCACCCGGAGGAAACTCACACGGACATGGGGAGAATATGCAAACTCCAAACAGAAACACCAGCTGACCCAGCCGAGGCTTGAACCAGCGACCTTTTTGCTGTGAAGCGAACATGCTACCCACTTTGCCACCTTGTAGCCGTCATGTTAGGTATTTAAAATGCAAACATACAAATAATTGTATTTTGTCATCCTTGCATTTTAAATAGTGGTAATCAAATTACAATTACATCCAATAAAGTATTTTAGATTATGAAAGTTAATACTTTTAATATATGTAATTTCATTATGTAAACATGAGGATTTCAACCAATAAGCCAACTGATTCTTCATTTAAAAAACTCAGTGTAGTGTAATCTATGCCTTCCTGCATTAAAAATTCGATCAGCATTGAAGGATTTAGTGTCCAGTCTGGAAAAGCATGAAGTAGTTTTTGATCTTTGAACATTTTTCTTTATCATATTTTAAGCGTTAAAATGCTATCATTACATTTAATATTTATAAGTGCTTAATTGAAAAAATTATACTGATTACTTCTAGAATTCTGTTTGCATTCAATTATCATTTTAATTCATTTTAAAGGTTGGCACATTAATGTGAATATATAATCCCATTTGTCTTGAAGACATGATTCTTTTGTGTCAATATTAATTGTTTATTTTGTTCAATCAAACCAGTGAAAATGATGAGATACTTTGGTTTTTTGATTAAATTGCACAAATAGCTTCTTTGTCAATTTTGACTTGCAAGTATTTTGCGTTCTTCTCTTTTACATAGACGCGATTATCAGGAAAGTCATTTAAAGTTTATCATTTAAAGTTTGGTCCATTCATTAAACAAATCTATTGATAACTTGATTACCTGAATGCTGAATACTTTTATGATATGTTTGCCGTATTTATATGTTTGGTTTTAATTTGAAGTTTAGAATGTAGCATGAAAAAGCACCGAATCTTATTTATTGTTGGGTAACACTTTACTGTTAGTTAATGCATTTACTAACATGAACAAGCCATGAACAATATATTTGTTAGTAAGTTAATGTTCGTTAATAAAAATACAATAGTTCATTGTTAGTTTGTAGTAACTCATGATGTATTAGTTAATGTTAACATGCATGCATTTGGATGTTAAAGTGATATAATACATTAAAAAGGGTCATATTTTGGTTTTAAGGGTCTCCAACAACTGGCTGATATGCGTGCAAGATCAAAAAACACTTTAATTGTTTTTTTTATAAACAAAATAATATGCATTTATTTTTACCTAATAATCCTAGCGACTCCCAGGTATTTTTGCAAAAATACACCTCAACCACTGACTCTTCACAGTTTCATCTTTGGATAGAGAAAATAACACTAACTTTCCCCTCACACTTCCAATAATATCCAGCTGAGCACATCGTCTTCACGACTTGACTCATCCGGGATCTGCTACAGTGTTTGTCTGTTTATGGGCGGGGCTGCAGGTTTCAATTTTCCTGTGTTTGCGTGCGCATTAATTGGGCAGGTCTTAAGTTTCGTATCGATGTCATGCCGAAATGGCTAAAGACTTGTTTTTAAGACGAATCATTAGAAGCACTATGAGTCGACTCTTATAAATGAATCAATAGTTTTAAACACCGTGCACTTTCAGATTTAAGCCTTAACTGGATATTTCACTTCACTTAGAGCTGTGTTTCACACTACATGGAAGGTCATTTTTTAAAAACCCATAATAGGAGCTCTTTAATGATGTAAAAGTTAATGTTGAATTATGATTAATAAATGCTAAACAAGTATTGTTCATGACTAGTTTTTGTCAGTAAAGACAATAACCAATAAACTCCTATTGCAAAGTGTGACCCATTTGTGTTACATTGCTTACATATTTCTAAGTATTTTAGAGTATTTAGATTCCTAAACGTTTTAGTTCCTAAACGTGAGCTATCTAACAAAATACACTACTAATTATGCTTTACAGCATATTTTGCAATCTGTAATAAAATACATTTTAAAAGTAACCTGTTCAGCTCTTCTCACTAGTATTTATGTGCAATTTGATTATTTTTCGGCCTTGTGTTCTAATAATGCCTGGTCCATGATTTAGCCTTAATTTTTAACTTCACAAGCCACTGATCAGTGTCTGAAATCTGAGTGCTCATTCACATCACGTTGTATGACTTTATCAAAGACACAATCTGAAAGAAGCATCAGTGCATTTCTGATCCCTGTAGTGTGAGAACAGTGATGCCTTTTAAAATTATTCAGCCTGTTTCTGGCCTAATAGATTTGCCATGCAAATTTCATTTTAGATCAAATGTTCAACTAAA